AGGAATGGGTTTAAGAGAGGGGGATTAGAGCACTGCCATTCTACAAGAGCCTTATGTGTAACTCAAGCCCCTCAGGTTTTTGAAGAACATTCTATCAACTGAACTGATAATTGAATATGGGGCAAAATTTTCAGGCAAGATATTTTCTAGCAAGAAGATAGGTGCAGTCATGACCCTGAATAATGAATGGATACCTAAACATGGCCAGTGAGTGAAAACATGTGCCTTTAGCTCTTGTATTCTTCCTTCTCATTCCTCTGAGAAGTATCAATCTAAAGTTATTGCATTGGTATAAAATGTAGAAATACCTCTTTTGCCTATAGGTTGGAAAGTATTTCACAGGAAGTATCAGGACTAACGTGAAACACAGCTGCAGTTCAAAATTACAGGCATATTTCAGTCTACCATCAATAAAATAAAATGTTTTCTTAAACCTTTGTGTTGACAATTTAAGCACCTTATTTTAGGGCAATAACACATAAATTACTTTGCCACCATGATTTGCAGCTGACATCTGTTATGAAATTCTTGCAAATCCGGGTAAATTTTATGTCAAGGATTTGAAATACTATAATAGTACAATAATTCTGCTGCAGCACAAAAAGCATGCTGTTATTGCATTCCTTTAGATTTCTCAGAAAGTTAGGCAACTCTACTGAAAAATTCCTTTTTCTGAAAGTCTGTAATCATTTTTTTCCATGTTGTCATACTACACTGAGCGAGTGAAATAAGTTCAGGTAATATACATCCCTTTTGAGAGCTTTCTAACAAAAAAGTGTATTTTCCTCTATTTCTAATGACTTCCACTGTTTTTATGCATTCTTCCTGTACAGTTCTTTGGCATTTTTGTGGTCTATTTTTAATATTTTTTCGTGTTTTTCAGATTGACTTTAATACTGTCCTGTCCGATGGATCTCAAAAATTTTCCAATGGATGTGCAAACATGTATAATGCAGCTGGAAAGCTGTAAGTTTGTGTAATATATTATCCTATAAATACTTTTGTAGGGATTGCAACAGCTATGCAGGAGGTAGAAGGACCCCTTGTAGCGGTACAAGAACAATTTTTTTTTTTAAAATGCTCTATTTTACCAAAAGAATCTGTGAAACACATGATTTTCAAAGGAAAAGATTCTTTCATCTTTACTTGTACTGAAAATAAAAAGTTTTGTGTAAATCTAAAGTTGCAACTAGACTTAAGTACCAAGTGCCAGTTTACCTTTATGCAAAATTTATGCATATGGGGATTCACCATTAAGTCTTCCCTGTGTTCACACATACAGGGGGACAGTAATATGGCAGAGCATAAAGGAAACAGGAGAATAACTTAAGGAAGGGACTTATGTGATTTATGTGACTATCCTGAAATTGATAATAACTTAGTGTCCCTAAAAGCTGATTGAGTCCGTGCTCTTCAGATTCCTGCCCTAGCTCTTCAGTATGCCTACATGTCATAGCTACATATCTGTGGTTTTTACCTAATCATCCTAGAAGGGATTAGGGAAAGGGTTTACTACAAGGGAGAACTGTAGAAGACTGCAAAGCATATATCTGTATAAAAGTATATGCCCATGTACCTACCTAGAGTATGTCACTTACACAGCCCTCACCCCCTCAACTGGGGCAGTGCCTTGGATAAGTGGAACACCCCCCCAGCAAATCTTGGGAAGGGCTGTAGAGCCCTTGCATTATGAGGAGGAAGAAGTCCATACAAGGTATCATCTAACTAGAGATAAAATGTGAGTATGATCTGACCATCAACCATAACACTGGGAAAATTTCTAGCATCTTCCAAAGACTCTGGGCTTAAAGGAATTTGTAGTAGCACAGATAGCTTGACATTGAAAACACACAGCAAAACACAGAAAGAAATAGCTTTCTAGCGCAGAGGTCTGACAAGTTGACCAAACTTGGTGTTACACTAGAATTTCAATGGAAAATGCAAAATTATAGGTCCATGTATTTTAAATAATCTCTTTGTAAAGCCCTATTTGCATTATACACAAATATCCCAAGGAGAACAGAGGAGAAGGTAAAACCAGCTTAGACAAGACAGGTTTTGCAGAATTATCTTTCAGTTAACAGCAATACTTTTTATGTGAAATAAAATTAGCACTTGTTAACTCAACCCATCATATATTGTACTTATCATCTCCTTTGATATCTCGCTTAGAACAAAAAAGGGGATGGAAAGTGTACGGCAGCTAGGCCATTTCAAGACACTCACACAGGCAAAAAGACAACCCAAAGGTTCTGTCTGATGTTATGATCTGAGCTAACACAGGATGTGTGAGGAGGAAGGCACAGATGTGCGTTAAATTCTCATTTTCCTTGTGATATCAAGTATTTGGGAATTGCCTTTTCCCCTTAGAATGAGAGGACTTTGGAAGAGAAAAATAGCAGAAAAATCCTCTTAATAATGTGAAGAACAAAATTAAATAAAGTAAAGCATTCTTTGAAAGATTCCAGCACTCCGAAGTTTGTGAAAAATAATGATGGGGAAAAACAGATAAATAATAAGTACCCATCTTAATGTCAGATATAGATTTACAGTTTTAAGATCAAAAAGTAAAATATTTCAGAAAAATAATTTTCTGCATATAAAAGGAACATACCAGATTATTTGAAATATATTATGGATCAGACATATATATATAAAAACATATATAATTTGATTCAAGTATTTCTTGAGTTTTTTCTTCTTTTACTGGAACAAAGTAGTGTCTAAGAGAAGAGGGAGGTAATTATCTATCAGTCAGTATGCCAGAACTGTTTGTTGTATGGATAGTGGTATGCTTTCAGAAAAAAATTGCAGGGTGAGTATGAAAGCCAGATCTTTCATTACGATGGACAGATGGTAACATTATAAGGCAGGCTTTCAATATAAGGGCAATGGCTGAATCTGACAGCAGAAATTTTCTTGACTAAAATTGAGAGATAGTTATTTGCTGCAAATGTCAAGGAATTTAGGGCAATATTATATATTCAGCATTTAAGCAAAACTCCACAGTCAACCCAAGCGGATAATCCTACTAATAACCTATGTCACCTTTATAATTAATGTGACTAAATAAAAGGTTAATGTGAGGCAGTTGTATCAGAGTACATACAGATGGGAGGGATATTCACTATATACAATTATGTTTCAAACAGCAAATATCATAGAACACTATGATATTTGTTGACTGAACAAGCAAAAGGTATAATTTAAAAAAAAAAAAGTTCTTTAAAAGTTATGAAATTATTGCTTTAACAACTTCATAAAACTCAGCTGTATTTTTCCACTCTTTCAGCCCTTGTGAGGACAGGTCATACAACAACCGAGCATTCTTGAACAAACAGGCATCTGTTTTGCTTTATAGTAACCTTGCAGGAGCTCACAATTCCCACAAACTGCACCATAGGGAACCAGTACTTATTAGTTGAATAGCACTGTAGATGTTCTACTATGTTTTCCGGCAGAACATTTTTCACTGAAGTCTTGTTTTTAATCATTCAGTTCAGTGGGAGTAAATTCCCTGCTGCACAGTCACATAGTAGAGAGAGGCAATGTTCACAAAAGAAGAGCTGAACAAAATACAAACGAGTGCTTCAAAATCTTCTAGTTACAGAGAAAGATTAAATTTGATTTCACAAGGAAGTTAGAAGTAATAAAGCTTTCCCCATATCGTCTTGTCTAATTCTATTTTACCTGTAACTCCAGACATTGAAAAATAGAGACTATGAGCAAAGTAGCTGGCCTGAGGCAGAAAATTTTGCAGCATGTGGGAGCTCTGGCTATGTCTACATGTCTGATAGCAGAATAACCAGTTAGGTTTGCAAGAACTAGCAGTTCCCTGAAATTACTTTGGGACAGACCCAAAGAAGATAGGCACAGTGACATAATTTCCAAGCTCCTAGACCTTCAAGAGCCAGAATTCACCTGCCTGAAACCAGTTTCTCTATACAGAAAATACATGAAGGGAAATAGACGCTTTGAGGAGTTACAAAAAAATATCTACATGCTGGACGGGAGGGTAACTACATTAAAAAAAAGCTTTATGTGAGTCTGAACTCTGACCAATTTCCAAAACTTCGAAAAACGTGAGCAGAAACATTCAAATTCCAGAGTCTTTGGCTAAGAATAGGTATCCAGTTCTCTTTAAAATTATAGAAGCAAGAAAGGAGGCTGGGCGCATTTAGCATCTTCCCAGGCTTCATATCAAATCTCCCGAGGTAAGAAATGACCTGACCCTGAGCGCCTGAATCCATCCAAGCATCTCTAATTTCTAGGCCAGAGCGTCACACTCTCCTGTGGCTGCCTGGCTTACATTTTTTGGTGCACAGCAAGACAACTTAAACAGGGGGATTGAAGCACTACCCCTGGTGGTTACTGCACTGTCCGGGGAAGTGGAAGACGTGGGGGTTCAAAACCGAGAATACCGTCTTCTCATGTCCTGAGTAAATGATCTGATCATCAGGCTGTGTTATAAAAACCAAAATGGTTGCAGGAGCAAAACAGCAGCAGCCATGCTTCCAGATGTTTCTTTTTAAAGTGATGATCATTGCTGGTTTTTCCACTGAGTGCCAAGTTGGGTAGGACACTGTACAGCCATGAATTTACAAGGCCCATTGATCTCACAGGTTTTTTAATTTGTATCTGATCTGGCAAGTCTTGCTCCTGCATGTGTCACTAAGAAAATGAGACTGTTTCTAACAAATTGCTCATTTTTTTCTTACTCATCTTACCACCAGGTTGCAAAGAAAGTCTGATAGTTACTTATAAAGGACAGATTGTAAGTTTTACCTCTGCTATAAAATACTTTTGCTTAGTACTAGATACTTTCCTTCAATATTGATACTGTTACTCCAGCATAGAAAGCTCTAAGTGGAAAATTCATGTATAGCTTTTCTTCCCAAATGATTTTTTTTTATTTTTAACCAGCTAATGTAATGTTTTTCCCAAGGTCAATCTAAGCAGCTGGACTTGCCCCTGGTTATAGAACTTCACTTATATCATGAAGTGTCTGAAAAATATCTAAGAGGGAAAGTCTTCTATTTTTAAAGGATTTATTTTACCAAATGATTTCTTAGCAACTAGAATGAGCTGCTTTTGTATCTTAGAAAGGAAGCAAATGAAAATGCACATATGAAATAATCCCTTCTACATTTCTATGCCTTACACCAGGGCAGCCTATAGGCATGTGAGATAATTTTAGTTTTATTCTGCTTGAATAAGATACAAAGAAATGTCAGCTAGATACATATTTATTTCTGTGGCCTGTCTCCCAGGAAAGAAATGTTTTTCTTTCATGTGCTAGAGCTTGTTGTCTCCCTCTTTTTAAAGGCTCACTTTTACCTCACAGCATTCCTTTATTCATATATTACAATTATAACTTTATGTGACATCCAATATTCCTGAATTTTCAAAGAATAGTGAAAAGACTAACTCAGTTACAAAAGGAAAAATATACTATGAAAAGCAACATATGTAAGGGAGAAAGCACCTGCTCACCTCATAATTTTATTCTGATGCTTATTGTGTCTCTTAATAAATTAAATAATGGCCTTTTTTTTAGTATTTCTAAGCAATCACCCTCCTGTCTTTTGGATTTTTAAAGAAAATACACTCCGTACTACATGATGCTGTTACCTAAATACTACAATGTCTTTCCTCCCAGTCTCTGAATTGGAGATTGTGCAAATGGAAAGATCTCTAAGCAGGCTACAGCAGTACAGACTACTGCATTACAGAAAGTGCTGTACAAATTGTTCCTTTCCCACAACAGCACAAAGACCATAAGAAAGACAATAGAACTGGAGTGTATTTCTTATCTGCCAGGGAACCTCAGGTGTCACCTGAGTGACAGTAATTATGGACACACTAGGTCAATGCCTGCCGGTGCCTGACATGTGGAAACCATAGCTCTTCTCTCCTTTCCATTTCAGCAGCTCACAAGTTGTCAACAACTCATCCTGTGGTTTCTA